TTTAGCCGCCATGATTTGAGAAAACTCCGACAAACAACTTGTATTGAGAATCGTAAAAGCTTTGCCGTTAATTCATCAACTTGACCGAGTGGCGCCAAAGGCGAGTGACGTGTCAGCAGCTGATTGGCTATATCAACACACGTGAAAAAATACGATATTTTTTCACGTGTGTTGTTACGGCTTTTCTCAAGGCCGGAAATCCTTCTATAACACCGCAGTTTATGTGATAAAACCTGTTTCTGACAGCTTAAAAAAACACGCTACCTATTCAATAAAACTTGCGCAGACGTTTGACCACTGCGTTGAATGAGACAGACTCCTTCTTCATCGCACTCACGTAACAAATAACGTCTTCCTTGATTCGTCACCGAACTTTGACAAATTTTCCACCTTAGTTTTTCAAAGTCACTTACCTGGCTTTCTCCGCTCTCTCTTTCAGGTCGTTAGCTTTGTCTAATCTTTCTGTGGTTTCCTCTAAGATTTCATCAATACCAGTTAATGAGCTCAAAGCCAACTTTATGTCCTCTGCGAGTTTTTCAATTTCCTCGGGAGTTACTGACAATTTCATTTGTTTCACACCGTCAGCTATTTTGCGTATGATGTCTGTGTCTCCAAACTCCATGTCGAGGAAATCTAAAATGTCCTGGAACATCAAACAGAGTTTCAGCCTTGAACAACTTTCAGTGAGTGTGTCGAACATAATCCGGGATTTCCTTGGTTTACTTTTCAACCTTCTGTGATTGGTCAAGAGAATTCGCACCACCCTCTCAACCAATCAGGTGCGACGGAAACAAACCAATCACGATTTGTTACTTAAGTTTTTCCCGCTCTCCAGGCTGTTTGCGTATGTTTACTAAAAGTTCGCATTACTGTAGTTCCTTACATTTTTTCCTATATTCTAGTGAGCCTTGGTGACTCCTCTGTTTTGGTTCGAAGAAACAATCTGAAACAGTCCTAAAATAACGAAAGCTTTGATGTACCTATAAAAGCAGTACCTGAATAAGTTTATCCATGCGGTCACTTGCATTTCGAGCCTGCGCGAGAGCATCCATGGCCCGCATTACTGCTTTGTCAGCGGCTTCTTTTGTCATGTTTACCATTACTTCCGCGTTTCGTACTTCTTCTAATGCTTCGTTCGCTTTGGCTAAGAATAAAAAAATATACGAAAGGATGTTGTTACGCTTAGATTGAAACGCTTTCACGCCCAACAGCGACCGAAGTGTAATTTCTCCTGACAGTACAGATGCGCCATCAAGCAGACGGGTGATAAGGATAAAGGAAGTACCCCCTTGGGGATGTTTTATGACTGAACGCTAAATTTACAAAACTAACATTAAAAGATGTATGGAAGAGGCTGCCTGTTTCAATAAAAGTTCCTTTTTTGCGAGGGCAATTTACGTATTGAAAATGCCAAACCGATCGTCAACTTACAAAAACGAGGGTTCTTTTGTTAATCAAAGTACACACATAAACGACGAATGAACAAAGGAAACTGAAGACTTTTTCACTGACCTTCTCTCATTCTTTGAGCCGCCTCCGCCTCTCTGGCTCTTTCTACTGCTTTCATAGCTAGATCTAAGGATCCATTACAGCCGGGGCCACCGCAAAACGAACAGTTACCCACCCCACATCCACCGCACTTACTGGCGGGGGACCCGCAGACAACCCCATTTAGGATCCCTACTTGTTTTTGCAGTTCTCTTATCTTGTCAAGGATGTCGAACAGAACGCCTGAATTTTCATCGTATCGATCGAGAAAAGAAGGTGGACCTTCTAAAAGCTGCTCTGTTAAATTTCTTTGTTCTTTAGACATATCAAGAATCTTCTGCGACTCGTTCACTCTTGCCTCGGCCTGGCGCGACCGCATTTGATTTTTCAAAATTTCCTCAAAAGCACCTCTTATGTCCGAGCGCAAAATCTTCTCAACATTGGATTTCAGCTGCGTTCCACCTTGGGTAAGATTGGCCAGCCTTTCGCGTAGAATTTGAATCTCGGTTTTGGCGTCCTCTGTTCGCATTTCAGATGATCTCACGTCCTTTTTCATCATGTCTACCTTGTCTTGCACCTCTTGCAGTTGCATGTCAATGGAGTCTAATTCTTTTTCGAGTGCCATCGTATCATTTTCAGTAGTAACTTGGTTTTTAAGTATCATCTCTACTCTTTCTAGTTTGTCTTCCAGTTCCTTAAGATCCTTGTCATAGGCGTTAATACTTCCACTTCCTAGGAAAAAAGTCGTTCAGGTGTAGATGGGTCACATATACTTCCTTCACTATAATTGCTCATTGTGATAAGGAAAAGAGAGCGCATTGCGTGACAAGACCAAACGGCTGCAATGGAGACTAGCTTGTGAAGGGATGCGCCAAAAATGCCACGCATATGAAATACTACCAGAACTTTTGAATTTTGAATAAACGAAACACTTTTTTTCATCTCATAGTACCTACATGTGATTAAAAATCTCCTTTGAGATTGACGCTGCGCGACCACGTTTAAAACGTACCTGGCTGAGGAGTGAGAGAGACGTTATACGCTCTTGGTACTTCAAGGCTGACGTTGCGTGACAGAGACTCTAGCGTGACCTTCCACTGGTAATAACATTCCCCGCAGACTTCACACTGAGGCATTTTACCGCTGGTGTCCTGGGCACACTGATCACACTTGTCGCCAATCATACCTTGTTTACACTGACATTTCCCAGTGTCGCGGTCACACTGAAGGGACACGGATCCCGCGAGATTACAGTCACAAGCTGCGAGAAAAGGGAAAATTGAGAAAGACAGTTCGAAATAAAGAACACTTTGAACAAAGAGCACAGCATAGTGAGTTAAAAGCCAACGAGTGAAAAACGTAATTCAGAAGAAATGGTTTTTATACAAGTTCGATACCAGTTATTATTTATAACCTGGGGGAGTGGGGGTGAAGGATTTTTTTGGGAGGGGGGGAGGGGTCATAGCGTTTTCACGTGGAACGAAAGAGGATTAGTCGTCGCCAGCATAGTATAAAAGGGGGATTATAGGAGACTTACTACCATTTTACTGGAATCCTCCTTTTGAGGATCAGGTTTACTCCCCCCCCCCCCCCCCTGGCGAAAATATAATGAAATGTCCGTTACAATGAATGGGAATTTCGACTTTTATAAACAGGACTGACCAAAAGGGACATTTAAATAAAATAGACCCCAGTCTTCAGGGCGTGAAATTGCGCCTAATACAGGCGCCAATGCGACTAAATTTTTCACTTTGGCGACCAAATCCTGAAAGTTAGTCGCCAAATTGGCGACTACAACGTTTCACCATAACCTTACCAAGAGATATGGTGAATTAAAAAGATTTGCAAAGATAAATCCTCATTAAGTTTGTTTCTAAAACGTAGCACGTGCTTCTCGATTGATAAGTAGACGCCATCTTGGATTTAGATGAGCCTGAACGTTGTATATCATCCATCCTAGTGTCCACTTTGTAGCACGTTAAAGATCGTTTCCCTAACTTAATTTTCGAGGGTCTATCTAGAACGCTGACAGCGTACAGAAAGATTTTGTTTGTCTTTGAAAATGGCGACCAACTTTTTTTGAATTGGCTACCACTTTGAAGAATTTAGGAGCCAAGTGGCTATCAGAAAAAAAAAGTTAATTTCACGCCCTGGTCTTGCGTGTGATAGAGCATCGTTGGTAACCTGGCCATGTACCATGTCTTACTTCCCCTCAGTTGACGGCTCTACCACTCCACATGACTTACGTTTGCAGTCGTTCAGCGGTGTTCCCCAGTAACCATTTTCACATGCGCAACAGCGGGGTCCTCCATATCCAGGCTTACAATTACACTGGCCGTCATCCTGTGCAAAAAAATAAGTCTAAGTTATGACGTAGAAAAGCATACAGGAAAAAAAAGGCTAGTAAACTACACTGAAAATGCACCCTCTTGAGTGTTACTTGCTGGTTTACTCACCTGATTGCAAGTGGCCTGAGTCGAGCCCTCTCCACAACAATCGCACTTCTGACAACCCTTACCGCTGCCCAGGTTCCAGAATCCATCGGCGCACTTGTCACACTGAATACCAATGACGTTTGATAAACACTTGCACTGGCCGGTCTCATAATTGCATGTGTCAACAAAACCAGGGGCCGTGCCATTAATATTACATACACATTCTGAAACAAAAGAATGACGTAATTAAATCTGAGGCAAAATTAAACTTACGAACACGAAATGGTGTAGCAGCTCACAGTTCTCATGTCGATTGCTCAAATGGGTGCAATTTATCTACATGCATACATTTTCCGCAAGGCATCAGGACCGAAGTGACTCAACCTGCACAACTTCACTTGGCCAGCGTGATACAAAGCTCTTGCATGAAACTGAAGCGCATAGATAACCGCATGAGATCAAGGCCACGTGTGTCAGTCAATCCAAGTTGTCGTTAAAAAGTTGAAACGGTCGGATTATACCCGCAGGATACAATAAAATCCGCGGGACTGAAAAAAGACAGGAATAGTGTGTCTCCTCAGAGAAACGCAATTAAAAATAGAGCCACATCTCAGAGCATAAATACTCGGGAAAGTACCGCTCAATAGCTTTTCTTTGAACAGTTTCACACAAGGGGTTCATCCACAGACTTAAACGGTTATAGTCACCCTATACATCATAATAAACAGTTCTTACTGGTACAATTCCTGGCAATAGCGTCACCATAGAAACCCGATTTACAGCGCTCACAACTGAAGCCTGCGGTATTGTAGAGGCAGGCTGAACATCTGCCAGTTGTTCTGTCACAGGTGCCCCCGTTCGACGGATCAATGTTGTTGTTACAAGAACATGGCTTACAGCGACCGCCTGGAACGAGTGGGTTACCATAGTAACCGTCAGCACATTCTTCACACCTTGTTCCCCTGTAACCAACCTGGAGAACAAATGCAATCGATCCAAAAAGGGTAACAACAGGGGTAACTTTCTAGAGGAACTGTGGTCCTGCATCAGCGGGGATATTACCAGAAATTTTGGTATTATCTACTGAGTTGAAACTGTAAATTGGCCACTGTAAAGAGTTTCCAAAGCTGATGTTTTAAGCGTCAGCATAAATACAGAGTCATCGAACTCACTTAAGCCCTTACGAAGCTCTTGATTGTCAAACCAATTCTCTTTGTCAGTACCGAAAGAAATGTATAGAGAACAGTATGGAGAATATTGATACTGATGTTAGGGTGTAAAGAGTCAAGACCTGCACACAAGGAAGGATGATACCGATGAAAATGGCGGCTCACGCGTTCACTTCATTATTGATGACTAAGGCTCTTCCAAACTACGAGAGACACGCGTGTGACCCACGCGTGTCCAAACCATATGTTAAGGATGGCACTTACTTCACAAGCGTCACAAGCAAAAGAGTCTGGTCCAGTTGAGCGACAAGTGGCACTAAACTGGTTTCCAGTGCCACCGCCAGGGCACTGGCAGCGACGGCAATCTTTTGGTGTCCCTGTAGGAAGACAACGCAGAATAATGAATGAGAAATGTGGCTTGTGTTTATCACTTGCGGTTCAACATGAGTCCACGACATAAAAAATTAAACGAATTTCCACCCATCCGCTTGCACATCGGATCGCCCTAAAATGAACCTTTTCTACCTTAAAAAGATTTTCATGAAACTTTCTCGTACCGGATGACTGTAATTTTCAACAGAATTCTCCCTACTTTGACTGATAAAACTAAACAAATTGGCAAAGGAAGGTGACTTAAACAGTTGCGAAAACGATTTGAGAGTTAAAAGGTAAACGAAGCAAGAAAAATCTGTCCCGCGTGTAACTAGTTCGACTAATATTTGGAAAACTGCATCGGTTGTTATACTCGGAACGATTCAAAGAGAGGGGTACTTACTCAACCTCGATCTCAAGAGACCAGGAGTTTTGGAAACGAGACTGTCATGAACCTACCCATATACACACTTTAAACTTACCCTTAGTGGCATCACCATAGTAACCAGTAGCGCACACCTCACAGTTTTTGCCAGCGGTATTGTGCTGACAGTCCAGACACTCTCCAGTCTTTGGATGGCAGTTGGAAGTGTCATGGCCATTACAGCGGCAAGGTCGGCACAAAGGGAATCCCCAGTTCCGGGGGGGACAAAGATTGCACTGTCTTCCCCCTGCCTTGATTCTACAAGTACACTGTCCAGTCTGAGCGTTACAGAGGTTGTCAGAGGCCCCGATACTATTACAGTTGCAGCCTATTGAACATTGGAGGGAAAAATTTAAGTACAGGTGTATTCTCCCTTTTATCGTGATTTTGTTTTGGGGGGGAGGGGTAACAGGGTGATGGAGGAGGAAGGGGTAGGGGAGAGGAGCGATGAGGAAAGGGAAGGGCAAACGAGGTAAATGATGGGGGATTTGAAAATAGCGAATAGCTTTGGTTTTAAAGGGGGCAAGTTTCTAAAGAAACTGTGGTGCTGCATCGCTGGAAGAGTTTATCAGGGTAATTTAGTATTATCAACTGAGTTGATAAGGTAAATTGGCCACTGTAAAGAGTTCAAAGGCTGACGTTTCGAGCAAAATTGTCTTGCATGACCAGCTCTCCTCCAATTTTTTCTTTTTTTTTTTTTTTTTCCTTTTGCTTAATTTGTTGCGGCTTTTCGTGAAACAAACCAGCGTAGAAACAAAACAAAGAATAGTCGTCGGGACTGTGCTATGTCTACTGTAGGAGAATGTGCTGATTCTTGTCTTCATTGTCTTTCTGATGCACTTTTACCTTCTGCTTTGTCACTTACCAGCACAACCCTGGGGTCCAAATCCAAACGATCCTGGAGCACAGCGGTCGCACCTCTGGCCAATCACGTTCGGTTTACACTTACATTGACCTCCCACGGAATCACAAATCAGCGTCCCGTTCTCGTCTCGCTTGGTTCCCGTGGGATCACAGTTACACGCTACAAACAAAAACAAAAGATTGAACTAACACACTCTATCTCCCTATGCTGAGGTGGGGGGGTCACCCTAACCCTCTCCTGAGAGTAGTTTTAGTTCTGTACAGATTTCTATCGCATTCTCGCAAACAATCACCGACGAACAAATTAAACTACCTAAGATATCGTGAAAAACTGGAGGGATTGCTAACATTCTTTTTCATCTAATCTGGTTGTCACCTTCAGCGCAAATTTTATCAATTCGATTTTGGTAAGATTGTATTCATATGTGGTACATGCGGTTTGGCAGACTTAAGCTTGGGTTTATCGGGTTAAAACGAAGATCGACCTCGCTAACCCACAAATACCCAGGGTACTTGATGGGGGCTTACATGACATTATCGTAGAACGAACGGATCGACTTACGCTTTCCGCCATCATATATAACCGATGACATAGCGAATATAAGCTGCTTGCAAACATCGGGAAGTTGGGGTCGAGGGGAGGCTGGCTCCAGATTAAAATCCAGGCAACTGAATTGATCAAAAACCTTTTTTCTTTGTTCGCCATCGGGTCCTTGAAAGATGGAAACTGATTCTACGTAGGGAACAA